AATACTTACACTCATCATCAAATACTTACACTCATCATCAAATACTTACACTCATCATCAAATACTTACACTCATCATCAAATACTAATAGTTACACTCATCATCAAATACAAATACTTGCACTCATCATCAAATACAAATACTTGCACTCATCATCAAATACAAATACTTGCACTCATCATCAAATACAAATACTTGCACTCATCATCAAATACTAATACTTACACTCATCATACTGTTTTATAATTTATATTCACCTTTAATATTAACCATTGAGCTTACATGAAAGCGTAAAAATATAGTTTATAATATTTAAAAAAAGACAACCGCTAAAGTTCAGTTTGTGACCACATATTGTTTATTTTATCTTAATTATTCCAGGATGTGCAAATGTCTTAGTTTTTCATCTGAATCTGTTCAAACTTGTTCGGATTAAACAGTAAAACGGCTCTTTTTACTTTCAAATCATAAACGAACTTCAGCCGTGTGCTAGCCTGTTAGCTCGAGCTAACATCCGCTAGCAGAGCAGCATCAGGCGGCTAGCTGTGGAGCTAACAGACAACAGGACCGCTCGTCCGGCCGGTGTGCGGGGTTTTGTCCCTGCTGGGAGGGCAGGCGGGTCGTGAAGCTAACTCCGAGTCAGCTAGCTAGCTAGCCGGTGTTAGCACGTAGTGACGACGCGTTCAGCCTCTCACCAAGCTGTCTGTCAACCTGGAAATGTGACGTCATCTCTCGGGCTCTGACCTGGTTTTTCCTCACACAGAGGACACGCTCAGGTGTGCAGTCAGCCAGGTGAACCTTTACAGAAGCACATCAGTTGTGAACCCCCCTCTCCTGTTCACACCTGTTTTCACACTTCCTGTTAGAGTCAGTCACGTGGACAGCTCTGTGTTCATACCTGCAAGTTCACTTATCCACCTTTGCTGAACCTAAAGTCAGAGTTTCAGACATGGTAACAGATAAAATCGTCTCTCCCCTTCAAGATGGCTGAAATATGAGATGAAAATATTTAATCTTATTCTTGAAAAATATAAAAGTTACATAAATCAAACGTCTCATCTGCTGAATGAGCTGAATGAATATATTTGCTATAATCTGATGCTACTCCAAACGTATCACCTATATCTCCTATATTTTGTATATTTGTTTTACTTACTCTATTCTACTTGTTCTATCTTTTTTATCCACTGTATCTGTATTTAATTGTTTATGAGTGTAACTGGACTGTGGGAGTACAGATTTCTTTCCACCACATGTTGTGTTTCAGCCTCTCTAGATGTTTTTGAGCTCGTCTTGTGCAGCACATCTGTCAAACATCTGTCTTCATCATGAACTAAGGCTGGGCGGTATGACCTCAAATTTATATCAGGGTATAAATTGAACCCCTTCACAGTAACGGTATATATCACGGTAGAAAATTATCATAAAAAGTAAAGATAATGTCATTTTTAAAACATTTATTTATTTTGTAATCATAATCAAATCCAGTATTTTTTGCTGTAGTGCAAATGAACAGAACACAAGTACAGAATAATGTTTTTTATATATTGCAAAATGGTTTCAACAACAAACAAACATTTCTTAAATGTTCAACAAATATCAAAATACAGTGGATGTTATAACCAAGTAAAATTAATAATTTAGAAATAAAAACTATTCTAAGTTGGCATAAGTTGTCTAAAATGTTATAGTGTGACAGGATCTTAAGGGCCTTCAGCTGCACGTAGTCCTGTTATAAAACTGTTCAGATAACTGGAATGTAAGTGTGGTGAAGCTAAATAAATGTAATATCAGGCTGCCATACACGAGCTTCTGCCTGTTGAACTGACCCTCTGCTGCTCTCAGAGCAGAACTGTTACATTAAAAAGATTATTTATGACTGAATGAACGTCCACATCTTTTATCATCTCTGTGGGGAACAATACATAAAAACAAGTTTTTTCTCCGACAACTTGTGTGTTAAAAACTACGGTTGTTAAAGCTTCGCTCTGCGTGACGTGCATGACGTAACTTTTCTACAGTGGGAGGGAAATGTTGAGGATTTATTCTCTATACGTGTTTTAAACTCTATATTTCTTCATTATGTCTGAAGTCCTCCTGCTCAGGTGTGTCTGCACTCACAGCCCTGTTGACACAGGTGTGATGATGTAACTGATGACAGGAGAGGGAACATTTCTGCTGTAGACCAACTTCATACAGTTTCTATCACATTTAGCACACAGCCCTACCATGAAAGTAACGAGGTCATTTCTGTTTCCTCTTCTTCAGTCCGCTCCTTCGGCACCGAGGACCGCCCGACGGACCGGCCCATCCCGCCTCGAGATGACACCTTTGAGTACATCATCTTCAGAGGCAGCGACATCAAGGACCTGACGGTGTGTGAGCCGCCCAAACCCACCTGCTCGCTGCCCCAGGACCCCGCCATCGTCCAGGTACGCCCTCCCTGTTTTCTCTTTGACTTCCTGTCTGAGCCCTACGTTCATGTCTTCAGACTTTATCTGACCAGTTCTGGCCCAGATCCAGATCTGATCCGGTTTCTCCTGACCTTTTCAGTCGTCCATCAGCACCAGCTCTTCGTCCGCCGGCGCCTCCGCTCCGACGCCGTTCCAGTCCGCCACCTCGTACGGCCTGTTCAGCAGGCCTCCGGTCCCGGCCTACAACCAGTTCAGCACCGCCCCGCTGGTCTCCACTCAGTTTGGAGCCGTTGGTGTCGGTAAGTGAGCGGGTCACGGGAGGGTTTGGTTCTGATGGTGTGAAGGGTTCAGGGTCAAGTGAGGAGTCCAGTCGCTACGTGAAGCTCAGACTTCCTGCAGGTCGATGATGTCACCAGGAAGTTTGAGTTTCAGTAACTCAGCTGGCAGGAATCTGAAGGTTTGGTTCTTTTGGTTCAGGTTGAATGTTTCAGCAGGGACTAGGTTCTGGTTCTGGTGGTCTGGTACCAGCACCGTCTCGGTGTCCTGCAGAGAGCTTCAATCCTGTGCTATTCCTCTCATACAGGACGCTTCGTGGTCCCGTTTGTGAGCGACCCAAGCTCCGCCTCCGGCCAGAACCCCTTCATTGGTTCTGTTGTCCCCTCTGACCCGCGGTCTCTGGGGCCTGAAGGTAAAAACCTGCTGGACTGGACTCAGATCTGTGCTCACAGCAGGGGGCTTCGTTTGCTTTAACCTGGACTGAAGCTTCTTCCTGTCCTCAGTGGGTCACCTGTTCAGGTGTTCCTTTGGTTCACTGGGTTTTCCTGTCCTCAGGTGGTCTTTATTGTTCTGTCCTCAGGTGGTCTTTATTTGTCCTGTCCTCAGGTGGTCTTTGTTTGTCCTGTCCTCAGGTGGTCTTTATTTGTCCTCAGGTGGTCTTTATTTTTCCTCAGGTGGTCTTTATTTGTCCTGTCCTCAGGTGGTCTTTATTGTTCTGTCCTCAGGTGGTCTTTATTTGTCCTGTCCTCAGGTGGTCTTTATTGTTCTGTCCTCAGGTGGTCTTTATTTGTCCTCAGGTGGTCTTTATTGTTCTGTCCTCAGGTGGTCTTTATTGTTCTGTCCTCAGGTGGTCTTTATTGTTCTGTCTTCAGGTGGTCTTTATTTGTTCTCAGGTGGTCTTTATTGTTCTGTCCTCAGGTGGTCTTATTTGTCCTCAGGTGGTCTTCTTCCTGTCCTGGGTCTTCCTGCTCTGATGGTCTTGACCTGTAGAAGTTTTCTCTTGTCATAAATAAAAACCTGCTGTCTGTCCTCTGACCTGCCCGGCCCGGCGGGTCGGTTCGGTTCTGCTCCTGCAGCCGCTTCAGTTTGTTTCAGAACAAAGCTGTCGGAGCGTTGGCCAGACAGGAAGTGAGCGAGCAGACGTTCTGACCCGTGTGGACCTCTAACCTGGTCTGTGTTCTGGTCCTCCCCAGGCAGCAGCAGCAGCCCCAGCCTGGACCCCGTGAGAAAGAGTCCCACCTTGGACCAGGCTAACCAAACGGGCTCGTCTGCCCCGCCGTCTTCCAGCACGGCGCCGGCCCCCGGGCTGGGTCGCAGGAGCCCCGCCCACGGCCGTGCGGCCGCCCCGGCTCCCGGTCCGAGCGGCCAGAAGCCTCAGCACCAGGACGGAGGGGACGCGAGGAGGGGTGAGGACGGTCTCTGCTGTCGCTAATGCTAGTAGCTTACTTAGCTTCGGCTGTTGAAGGCGAAGCTCAGAGCATCTGTGAACTTCCTGTTTATGATGGAACCTTCTGGAGTTCTCTGTAATCATGAGGATCAGCAGGTTTACAGTTATTTCTATAAACACATGAGGGTTAGAGCAGCCAGGTGAGGTCAGCTGATGAGTCGTGTCAAACGGCACCAGGTGTTCACACCTGTACCTCTGCTGTTCCAGGAGGAGACGTCCAGAACTCTCGCAGAGCCGAGGGGGAGCAGGCGAGAGGCGAAGCCAGAGAGCCCAATAAATGTCCCACAGGTTAAGATCCACTCGTCTCCGAACCCGTCCTGCATTCCAGTCATTGTCCTGTCCCTCTGTGGCTCCGCCCCCTCCTCTCAGAGCATGTTCTGGAGACGGTGGAGCCGCTCCGACTTCCTGTCTCTAACACCGAAATCTGATCTTCATCGTGACGCCGTCGTTACGTCTACTTCCTGTTTTTGTTTAGGGGATCCAGGATTAGTTGTAACATTAGACTTTATTTAATAAACATATATTTTAACTGTAAAATAAAGATTATAAAAATACTGTTTGTTTTGTAAATTTTTAAAATATATTTTAACACAAACAGAGCCATTTTATTTACACACAAAGCATTCTGGGTAAATGATGACGTGGATAGGTCATCTGTTCGAGGCTAGCGAGCTATATCCACCCTGAAGGATCGACTCTTAAACCAGGGAGCGTTGACAGAGAGGAGAAGGTAGAAATGACTCAGCCTGTAACTGAAAATATGGATGGAGGACAACAGAGCTGCTTCATGGAAGTAGAACCTCAGCTTAGCCTGTTAGCTTTAGCCCCAATGCTATATTGCCTTATATTTATTAGCTCTGTGCTAGCGCAACAAACTAACAAGCTAAACTGACGTCCTCCATCTATATTTTCAGTTGCAGGCTGTCATTTTTGTGTTCCCC